GTTTGGACTGAGATACGAGAAGAGTCCAAAACTAAAAAATGCTCGAGGAAGAGGGGGAAAAAAAAACCTAAGATAAATGAAGAACATCTTGTTCCCTCCTCTGCTTCCCTAATATAACCTCACAACTATATGCAGGCTTAACCATTACGGATTTTTAACTAATTCGCCTCAGAAGTACCTAAATAAACAAACGGTAGATAAACTAGTCAGCTCTCCTCCTGACAAAATGCGCGTTAGCCACCTGAAGTGGCTGACAGCAGCTGCTTGATTAAAATTAACCCCCCCCCCCCCCCTGCAATTCCTCTTGACTGTCACCTAATGATTAACTGTCTGCCTGAACTTTAACCTGTTTCTCTACAGATCGATTAATGAGTCTCTTAAGCACACCGTCTCTTAAATTAGGTACCCTATCCCTGATTTAATTACTCAGCCAAGTGTTAGATGAGGGCAGCTATGCCAATTTTCATAAATCTAATTAAGGAGATTAGACAGAAAAAGTGTAGATATTTCCAATGTAGATTTTTAATTAATATACAAAATGGCTAAATGGGCATTAAGAGACAGTTTCTGCTTCTGAAATTAAAGGCACACCCTCCTTGTGATCACAGGTCCATGCCCCCCCCCCCCCTTTATTCAGACTGATTAAATCACTTGCTACATTTAAAAGTAGACAGCCTCTTTCTGAGAAGGGTTACTGTACACGCAGGGTTTCCCTCTGTCCGGGGAGCTTTTCAGAAGTCGCCGGTTACTCCAGGTTTAGTGCCGCAACCCGTATGACCAAGTGCTGTAAGTTACAGTGGAGGAAAAGGCACCGACTCTCAATATACGGCAGCCACTCAGTATCGTCACACAGCGTTTGCAAGGCTTCTGCACACGTTTGCTTTACAAACCGCAGTCAACTTTGACACTTTGTTTATTTTTGTGTTTGTGTGTACAGTGAATCGTGGCGTTTGCTTGGATTTCACAGACTTTAGCTTAGCATTTTGTCACTTATTATTTTTCTTTGTTTTTGTGCTCACAGTTTACGACTGTGGCTGCCTGCAAGGCAAAGGCAGAGGGCATTTTCATTCCTTTTATATTTGTCCCCTTTCTTGTCTCACTAAATATGGTAACCCTATTCTACAGGGGTGTGGGGTAACTTACTAGTCAGTGGGGATTCACATTGACCTTTCTGGGCCAGATTGAGGGGAGTTTTTGAGCACATCTCCTCACCTTGCCTTCTGTTTTTACTTTTAACTTGTTAAAAAAATAACGGCACCACACCTGTGTACAAGCAAGGTGACTTTAGCTTCTACCAGCCACGCCCGATCGAGTACACGCATTTACACATCTCACAGGAGGCTTCGAGGCAGGATTAAACCTTCGCCAGACTAGTCGACAGACATGGCTGATCCCGGATCTCCCATAGGACTGACATGCTTAAAGACACTGTAGCTGAGCCTCACGCTTCCTGCCAATGGACAAACAGTGAGCGGCGCGGATGCAGGAAGCCTGGAAATAGCATGGTCGCTAAATCCACTGGGGCTGGGGTGGGGTCCTTCATTCAGGATAATCTCAGATGGGGAAAAACAGGCAGAAGAGTCAAGGGGAGACCGAAAGGGCTGGTCTGGGAGACTCTGTGACTAGCTGTGGGTCAGCTTCCGGCTGACACACACACATATGTACACTCAGGTCAGTATGCGATAGCAGCCAAAGCGTCCCAGGTCATGTGAGGACAGCCCTCTGCAGCACGGGGTAGCAGGCCTGCATAAAAGAAGGCAGGGGGGTGCCGGTATGGACAGCACGCTGTGTTTGCTTTCACGGCCTTCGAAAAAAAGTACACCTGTCAAAGGAAGGAGCTTCCGAGGGGGGGGGGGGCTGGCTGACCCCGCTGTGCCTCACTGGATGGCAGTGTGTTGAAGCCTAAGAGGGTAACAGTGCAAGAAACATGTTATGTCACCGAAACCTGCCACCCGGGTGGTTACAGGAAGTGAGTCACCAACACAGGAAGAGGCGTGTCTTCATCCCTCCAGAGTTTGAGTGAGGGCCAAGGGTCAATGGGGAATCTTAGCATTGCAGTAACTTAGCAATAGAGAGTGGGGTGGGGGAGGGCAGTTAAAATACACATGTATATTTGGGGAAGGAAACCCAAATGATTTTCAAATATTTCCCAAAATATGGAACAGCTATTACTGTCTAATTAACCTCCAGTGACTCTGCCAAATGGCTGCCTTCCCACCCTCTGGACTCACAGCAGGTTCCATAAAATCCTTCCATGCAGCGTGTAGTATGCATGTAGTGAAGTGTGTAGTAAACATATAGTAAAGCGTGTAGTAAGTGTGTGTATGAAATGCATGGCAATGTGTGTAGTAATGCATGTGATAAATGCGCACCTGCCTGCTCACTGCAAGCTCCTGCCACTGCACGGACCCAGCCGGGCGCCGCTGTACAGGCAAAGCCGAAACTCGTATCTGAGGGCGGCCTGCTGGATAAATCGGGGCCGAGATCAGAGAGGGGCGGGAAACCACAGCCCTCATTTACAGCACATGGCTGGGCCTAATGATGCCGTTAACAGCGGCAGTGGAGTAAGGAGAGGGCCAGAGTCAGAGTAAAATAGCCGGTACCACCCAGGGGTGCTGCTAGATATTTTGGGCCCGATTAAAACACATCATATTGGGTCCCCCACACAGACCAATCCAATTGTGTTCTAAATTTTTTAGGCTCATGTCAGTTACACATGGGAACCACCCAACAGCAAGCTGCCTAAATCCGCAGCTCCCTATTGGTCGGTGGGTAGGGTTTCAGCAAGAAAAGTTCACATGAGAGTAAACAAGAGCTGTTTCTTGAAACCTAGCAAAAGATTTTTAATTCAAGATGTTCCTTTGACTTCCCTAGACTAAATTTGCTTTAAATATTGTGAAAAAGCCCCCCCCCCACCGTGTTCCAGGTTGCACCTGCCTCAGACAGTTGATCTCTCTGTGCCCCCCAGTACCCCATGACAGTCTCCCTTGTTTCGCCTGTTCTCTCGCTAGTTGGGAGATCTGTTGGACCTTTGTTCAGCTTTGGGGCGGGGCTCACAGCCTATTGGCTCTTCACTCTGGAGCCTACTGGAGCCTTGGCCTGTCAATCGGAGCGGGCTGCATTTTCCATCAGCCTTCTCCAATTACCAGGGCTCTTTGGCCGTCAATGAACGGACCATTCAGGAGGGGGAAAGGGAGATTAATGTGACGGACGGCGAAGCAGTCAAAACAGTGGGTAGGACTGGTTTTACGGGCCAAGGGCATCTCATCGCGGTGGCTGAGCCGCTGGCTTTGGTGCTCCATTTAGACACGCATCAAGCAGCAGAAAAGCCAGCGGCAGGCATGGGACTGCTGGCAATGTCACTCCTTCCAGAACAGAATGGAAACGAGCCATCAGGAGGCCCCACGTCCACCACAACCCTTCATATACACCCCTTCCCCGAGAGGCAGGCTGACAATGACAGGAAAGGCATAAACATAACCCCCCCCCAACTTAATGAACCTGAATCAGTTCGATCAGTTGGGATTTTAGAGCACGCCCATGCCACATTGCATATTTTGGGCAGAGGATAATGAGAGCTGAGCCGCAGTGAGGTAGGAGGGTGGATATGGGCCAACCAGCGCCTCTCAGAGGCCATGTGGGGAACGGCTACCTCAGACCATTATTCAAACCCCAGACAAACGCAGCTATACAAACCTAAATAGATCTTTACTATCACATTAGTTTTTTTTTTTTTTCGGTTATACCAATTTCACAAAATGGCCAAACATAACTGCTTCTTCCCCTTTTTTGCACTTACAGTCCCCAACTTCATCTTGCATGGAGGCTATGATGTCTAATGAACGCTTTCCTCTGAATGACTTTATTACATGTGTTTATACTACATAGGCCTACCTGCAGTTAGGACAGGCTAACATCCATTTATCCAGACACCCCGGTTAATATAATTAAATATAGGCCTAGTATGAGAAAGTTTTGTACTTATTCTGCTTACTTCAGAATCCGTTTAATTCCCGAGGGGATTAAATTGGTATCATAGGTAAATGTCGAACAGATGTTTATCGCCTTATGAAGCAAAGGTATAAAGCCTTTAAACTTAACTGCGGAAACAATTCCCAATAAAACCCCCGAAAATACCACGAAACAGTATGAACCTGTTGCCACACACCCACTTTAATACATGGACTCCTTCCAGGGAAGATCTTGCTACGCCGTTTATGGTTTTTATCTCGGAATATGAAACATTCAACAGGCAAACATTAAGAAGCGGTCCCGGCGAAAAGACGGAAAAACCTATGTCAGATGTCAACAGTACCACAAAGGGTATTTAAAATAAATCATCGACGACAGTTCACAGCAAAGCCACAGAGGCGTTTAAAAATAGCCTATAATTTCACAGATTGGGAAGGACGCCGAGTTCTTGGCGTCAGCCGTCCACCTTGCTGCCCGTATTTTACATATCGGCGTTTTATTTAACACTTTTAACGTATTTCAGAAACAGGTCATCGGTAGGGGAAGGCAGCCTATCGTACAATCTCTGGTTGATAAACCCCAGAAATAAAGCAGGTTTCACCGGTAAAACGTACCCTCCAAATTACAATACCGGTAAGGTATGACATTTCCTGCCCTTTTAGCCATAACGAAACAAAATATTCGTTTTCCCGATATCCTGTCTGAATGAATAAGATTATAAATTATTATTCACTTGCTACTTTAAAACTCATCATCACTCACACCAGCTCAAAGCCGAGGTAACTTTTTTCTACTTTTGGAACCGAGGTCGGAAATGCCTTGACTGAGATTCAAAACCACATTTTTGTTTAAATAAATTGTACATTAAAAAAAAAAAAAAACTCCCCGGACACTAGAACTGGGGGATGACAGCACTACAATAATAAACCTACTGCTTAGACGACTTCTAAAAAAAGACAGATGCATGCTGCGAGTGAATTGCACGCTGCTTTGCATAGCAATCGCGGCCGGCTGGCACCGTTTCTTACCCAGGTACTGACGCATCTCCAGCAAGATTTTGGGGGGTCCTCCGTTCAGCTGATAAAACAACGAGCCGAAACAGAAGACAGACAGTGTTGCCATACAGAAAGCATAGTCACGGAGGGAGAACCTTAACAGGCTCCCCGGACGCCAGGGGCTCGCCTGGACTGAAGAGTGAAGCTTGCGGCGGACGCTGTTGCTGTTGCTGTGACTCTTCATCATCACCACCATCATCACCTCCTCACAAGGAGCCGCTGAGAACGGCAGCCACCCATCCGCATCCGGAAAATGAAACTCTACGATCTGATATAATTCGGTGAGCAAGATCTGGGTCTCGAACTCCTTGAATCATCCAGGCTGCATCAACTGTGCCGACGAGCCCTTTTCTCGGCTTCCTCGCATATGTGCGATGAGCACTACTCGAAACTGTTAATCTGGGACTCCATCCTATCCGTGGGACGTTTGGGGGGGTTTTCAGTGGCGGAGTCACGTTACTGAGAGGAGGAAAAAGTTCGGTATTGTGCCGCACGCTTCTTTTTGCTGCGAATCAACGACCCCTGGCGGCACAGGAACGGAACTATAGCTACACTGCACGTAGCGGCTGGTGTGCTCCTGCTTCGCTTGGCGTTTGCCAGAAATCAGTCTTTTAAAGCCGAATGGAGTTTCTTATTAATCAGCCTATACCTAAAATAACGATTATGTGCATAAGTGCTATAGAATTCTGATGTATTTATGTTCTTGGGAGACTATATTTTCAGATTTCATTCAATAAGACGAGTTTTCTTTTATGTTGCTGCGATTTATGAACTGTTAGGGTTTTCTTAGAGACTCCGAAATGAATCATCTTCTTGTCAAAAGCAAGTGTTTCCAGAGGCATACAGCTAAGCGGCTTGGTCATGCCTTCGAACCCAGCCTTCCATTCAGAAAAAAATCATTCTTTGCCAGGAAACGTCAGACTGAAGGTGTTTTAAAGCAACACTGGTTTGGATCATCCGCTCCGTTTATTGTGTCGACTAGTAGTTTGACGATTGCACTGGTGTTACATTTCCTGGGGGAAACTGCTAACAAAGACATTAAGATTTTATTTGTAATGTTTATATGATAATAGTCCGGTATTACATATGAAGAATTGGACAAACGATCTCGCATGGCAAGTAAGTGAAAATAAGTATATTCTGGATCAGGTATTTTTATCTACGGTTTAAAAAAAGAAGAAAAACAAACACATGCACAAAAAAACGTCAATATACATGTAACACAAATAAAATGTAATGTTCTTGGATTTAAACACTTTCTAAAAATGCAGCCGATTGTATGAACCACCTTAACATTAAGGTAAATGATAGTGACTGTTAGAACAGGTTAATTTTGGATATACATAAATGAAAATGCACTTCTGCCCAGGGTCAGGCAACTCATTCGAAGACATAGGCGGCCACATGGGGCGCCATTTCTGGGAGGGGCCATCTGCCGACTCCAATTTTATGACTCAGCCAGAAGTGGACCAATGTGACACTCTGACCCAGCAGAAACATTTTAATGGCAAGAAAGATTTTTATTACATTTCAGAAGAGACAAATAGTTTTAGACCTTTTTATGTTTCAATACAAGCATATCTGTATAGGCAATTATTAGCTAGCTCAAACAGCATAAAATAATTTGTACACATATTTTACAATACATACTGCAGCTTTTCACTGGTAAGAGGGTATTGCTATGTGTATAATACAGCTAATAATTACATTTGATATGAAAAGCAAAAAAGAAAATAAGTTATTTAAATATGAATTACATACACAGATTGTGCAACATTTGTTAATTTCATATATGTAATTATGCTTCTGACAAGACAAAACAAATTGGAAGTAATTAAATGGAACTCAATTAGTCAATCATTGCTTTACAGTTGTATACAAGAAGCTTAATACGGGAAATTTTATAATTTGCTTAATTCATGATGTCAATTTATGATAAAAAAAAATTGCATAAACCAGCATAAACTAATTCACACCCTCAGTATAAATGTAAAATGCTTTTAAAAATTTCTCAGCTTGGGGAACTGTTTATTTTTGAACCTCTTTAAAGTGCTTTTACGGATAACAGTAATGATGTTTTGTACTCAGAGACTGCAGAGCTTCCCTCTGTTGTGGTGGGTGAATTTGAAGAAGATGCTGACCTGTGAGCATGTGACCCCGGACACGCCTCGCTGTCCAATCAGAGCAAAGCACACCTGCAGCCCATTTGGAATGTTTACAGATAAATGGACAATCTGCGTCCAGAAGCCGCGGCTGATTGGTTGGACCCCTGCATTGTTGCATTTTGTTACGTCACGGTCCGTCAGTATGTTACCAAGGGGGAACCTGGAAACTTCTGCTGGAGGGTCCCCTGACAGGGGAGTTGGTGGGTTTGGGCTGGAGGGGGGGGGTGGATACTGGCTCCTGGCAGCTTGCCCCATAGACTGCCCTCTGCTGGTGGAATGGGGTGTGTCTGCCAGTGGGCCATGACGGCGGCATCACTGATCCGCACCTGCTGGGTGTTACTGTGCCGTGCAGAATCCAGAGAGGGACTCCGGAACCAGCAAAAACATTCCCACGCTGGAATACTGCTGTGCATCCAGTCTTCAGTACATCCCACCCTAAGTTCTCTCTAAGCCAGCCTTAACATTAACCCCTGTGTTGAGGCACGTTCGTTTGCGCAGTCTTCCTCTAAACATGTGTGTTTGGGCATGTTACATGCTTAAACGTGTTATCTTGGCCAACCTTATTAGAAACGTTCATTTATGCTGTCACCCTGACCGCAAACATGGCGTTACCATGTCACCTAGAGGACAGACTGGAGTGACAGTAAGCCAGGCCTAAACCATGGGTAACGAAAAGTGACAATCCCTGATTATGGATTTTTCGGCATGTGGCAGGCCACAGGATTTCAGCGCTCCCCACTGGCCAGTGTGCTTGGGGTCTCTATGGAGACTCTGGCCCGTAAACACCATACTTGTTTCTCCTGAATTCCCAGCTGCCATCCCTGATATACAATATATCCAGATCTCCTGGCCGCGCCCATCGGACACGGTGGTCACATTCCCTTTGGCTAAACCGCCACGAGCACCAAAAGTTGGGATGATCGCTCAATCAAACCGCAGATATTTCTCTGACTGCATATTTCAAGTCTGCACACACCTGTAAACATGATTAGGAGCGGGATCGAAAGCACGCGCACAAACACACACCCACACGCATATATATAGAAGCCAGAATTTCTTGTACAATCTACAGATATAACTGTGTGTGCAGGATGAGAGTGGCCCCCGCGAGGTAACGCCCGCATGAGTCTGCAGCTGAATGATGTCACGTCTGAAACAGGATGGCCACCGACCCACATTTAAAAGTCGAGGAGAAAAACTTCACAGAAAACCGAACTGCAAGCAAGAGCCACCGAGAGCCTGAGTGAGAGGGTGTCACAGGCTGGGTTAGCAGAGAAGCGTCGACACATGCGCCAAACCGCACGGGACCGCAGTCACTGCCCCCCACAGCAGTCAGCAATAATCACTAGGCCTTTTTTTTTTTAAGCTTACTTCTAAGGCAACGTAAAATAAGCGGCGTATACTCTTTGTAAAAGGAAAGCAAGATGCTTCACAAAATAAAAAACGATACGAGTTAGTACTGATTAAGATGTGTGTTTAGAGACACTAAGCACAGAAACACCGAGTGTGACCCCGTTTGTGACCCTATCCCCGTCTGTCAGCACCAATCATAACATCAGTCTTCGTGCAGCACAGGGAAGGTTCGTGTCATTGTTTTTTGCTTCATGGGCGTGACCACAGACGGTTCAGCCTTTAACACGGGGTCACTGTCATGACCTGGAATCACAATCAGTGTGAGAACTTCGGATAAAAATGATTCAAAAATGCTTTGGCCACGCTGCTGTCTACGGCAAGCAGGAGGAGACAAATGGGGTGTTTGATTAAAAGAATGAGCTAACAATCTGATATATTTCAATATAAATCTATAATGTCAAACAAAACCTTGTGCTATCTCTCCAAAGGCAGCTCCTCAGTCACCCGTTTCAAGGTTGATGACTTTCAGTGGGGGGGGGGGAAGCATTTAGAAGCCCCCCCTAACAGTCAGAAAACATCAAGAAGAATCACTCAAAAAAATATTAAACTTGGCAGTGGCTGCGCTTGCAGCAAGCTGCATTGTCTCTGTCCGGTGCAACTCAGCTGTGCAGTCTTTCATGCAGGTAACGCCAATCGCCTGAACTGCATCTATGCTGTAACCGTGGAGTCCATTCTGAGGGGGGGCAGACTGCAACCTGTACGCTGGGGCCGGGTCAACACGGCAGGCACGTGTCCGTCTGCATGCGTCTGCGTCGCAAGCGCGCGTCAGTCCGCCTGCACTACAGCATCTGCACCCTGCGGGCCTCCTCCAGCAGCCGCCGGACGTGGCGTTCCTTCTGGACCCCCGGCTGCAGCAGAACCTGCTCCGTCAGGCTGGAGACGTGCTCCAGCGAGTCCAGGCCCACCGCCTTGCCAGTCGAACGTGGTGCTCGCACCACCTTGAAGCAACGGCTTCCGGATCGCATCCGCCAAGCCATCGGACGGGATCTGTGCGTGGGGGTCAAATAATTTGGTGGCATTATTCTGAGGAGATGCTGTACTGTTTAGAGGTGTCAGATCGTAGCAATAAAAGTGGTATATATGGATTAGGGAGCACTGACGTGGGGCGTATCTCTTGCAGGTACCATGGGGGTGTTAAGCAGGCCGCTTCTGGAGACTGGCTCCCCCTAGTGGGGTTGGGTTTGGGCGGCGCCGTGAGATACTCACGGGAGACTGGCTCCCCTTAGTGGGGTTGGGTTCGGCCGGCGCCGTGGGATACTCACAGGAGACTGGCTCCCCCTAGTGGGGTTGGGTTCGGGCAGCGCCGTGGGATACTCACGGGAGACTGGCTCCCCCTAGTGGGGTTGGGTTCGGGCGGCGCCGTGGGATACTCACGGGAGACTGGCTCCCCCTAGTGGGGTTGGGTTCGGCCGGCGCCGTGGGATACTCACGGCCATGCGGTGCAGCCTGCGCAGTTGCTTGACCCGCACCGAATCCATGGCGGATGCCACCTCCTTGGCGGCCTGGCCCAGGTCCTCAGTGTACCTCTGGACCAGACACAGGGGGACTCCACAGCGGCCGTGCTGCAGGGGCAGGATGGAGGGTGCGAGTGGGGGCGGGAACAAGAGGCGGTCAGACATGGCACGCCTAATCAACTGCATTCCCTGATACTATTAAAGTTTAAAATGAACACATATATAAGGCATACCTGCTAATAAACAGATCAGCTGGAAACGTACAGGTTTATTTTGATTATTGGGTCTGCAGAATCAGGGATGACAGATTTATCCCCCCAACCCCCCACCCACCCAATTTTGAGTGGTACGTCCCCCAACAGTCATGTGACAGAAACATCAAGTGATCATTTTCAGTATTTGGATGTGGTGTAGCAGAATTCAAATCTAGCATTCTATTTCTCAGAGAAATGCCACAATGTTTTCTCTTCGTCAAGCCTGAAACCGGCGAAACTACATGCTGGGGGTGAAGAAGCGCCCCCTCGTGGTCATGGCACTAAAAGTCAGGTAATACTATAGTTCAGACCCCTATCACAGCCAAGGAGCCATGCAGCTGGAGAATATTACTGGCACTGATTCTTTGGGGGGGGGGGCTGCTTCTGGGGCCTGATGTTCACCTAACTGGCTCCCAGCAAGCAGCGGTGGAAGGACACATTGCTTCTCCTAGGAGCACGAAAGCCGTCCCACCCGCTGGCAAGTGCTGGGTGGCGTGTAAAGAGAGCCGGCGGTTTGGCAGGGGTGCGCGACGCGAGGCGGCGGCGGCGGTGGGGAGTCAGAAACAGTCACCGCGATAATTATGAGAGACGCGAGGTGCCGGCAACCGGGAATAGCAGCGGCCCGCCAGTCGGCTGCAAGGCTCAAAGGGGAACGGGCAGCTAGTCAGGTACCGGCAACCCACTGCCGAAAAAACACCGGCTGCCTGACAGAGAGGGCAGGCCAGCAGCTCAGGCTGGGGTGGCCTCTCCGGGGAAGGATGTCAGCCAAATTCACGGCACTCCAGGTAGGCTTAAGGAATGCAGGGAGCCCTGTCTTTAAATAATACAGCTCTGTGCTAAAGACCAGCACCACCACTTAACTCTGGCCACCAGGGGGCGGTCTTCAGTGTGAGCTTAATGCCGTGAATGTACTGTAGCAGCATTAAGAGGGAATTTATCCATCACGTGTAAATATGTGCCAGTGTCTAAGCTTACAAAATACGTGTATTTAATAGCAGAGATTGCTGTAGTGTCTGTAGAAGGCCTCAATCCACTTCTTGTTATCAGGGTGTGACCTCCGCTGATCTGTACGAAGCAGGCTCACCTTGTCCGAGTAGGGTTCCTCCGTGAGGTCGATGCCCTCAGCCATCAGCCGGTCCTGCAGCAGAGACTCCAGGTCAGCTGTCTTGCCATGGGACACCTTCTTCCCAGCCACCACCTTAGCCCCGTGCATCTGGGGGCATGCCGATTCAGGGAGGTCCGAGAGCCAGGCTGGGGGCGGCGCAGGTGGGGTGCCGGGTGTAGGGGGCAGGCAGGGGTCGGCAGGGACGGGAGACCGAGCAGGAAGCGCAGGGAGTGCGGTGGCGGGCAGGGGCAGCAGCGTGGGGCGGCACAGGCCGTTCAGTAGGCGCTCTTTGCGCTTTTTTATAGGGACGGGAGGCGGAATGGGAGGTTTTTTCGGGAGTGTTTGCACCCCACTCTCACTTGCCGTGGGATTGATCTCTGGAGATTCAGGGTCTCCAGAGCTTAAAGGAGTGGGCAACGGCAGTGCCAGGCTGGGCTGGTCCATGGAAATTTCTGGAGAGTCGGTTGCCCCACCCCCTGGTGGATCTTGTGCAGATGATGATGAGGATGACAGTGGCCGTGAGGCTGGGGCGGGGGACTTTTTCCTGTCGAAGGCCTGCTCCCACTGGAGGTCGCCCAGCGAGTGGCAGCGCTTCCACGGCGGACGCACCGACACCAGGGCCGTGTCGCCCAGCACCTCGCAGCTGCGGCTAGGGGGCATGGTGGCACTGCCCTGCCGCCTCCTCGGGGGGGCCAGCCCCTGCAGGGAGAAGGGCCTGCTAGATCGATGCTCCTTCCTGCCCTGCTGCAGAACCTCCGTAGACCGGGTCATGGGCAGAGTCGGATAGTCTGGCTGCCGGAGTGGGCCGGACTCGGAGCCCGCCGACGAGCTGAAGGAGCTGGCTGTCCTGGGACCCTTCCCTGAAACATGAAGGCAGATGCCCTTTAGGTCTTAAGCTAATCCTGCAACCACAGGGAGACCACCGGGGGGGTGCTATAGAGGCATGGATACCCTGGCAGATTCAGCGGGCCCAGCACTTTACTGAGGCCCTTGGATACATAAAATTATGAATTTTATTGGCTGGGGGACCAGAATTTCTAGCTACACCTAATGCCCAAAACCAATTAAGCTTCAGCAGTGGCCCAGGATACCCATTGTTTCACCTCAGTGGACTCACATCCTAATTCACTCTTTGACCAAAGAATTTTACATTTTTATTTATCAGACACTTTTATACAAAATGAAGTATATAGTTTGAGAAAGCAGGGTCAATTTAGGGTTAAGTGTCATTTAATCGTCATGGGGCAATGTTGGACCAGCCGGTTGTGATAATCGCCATGGGGCAATGTTGGGCCAACCGGGTGTGATAATCGCCATGGGGCAATGTTGGGCCAACCGGGTGTGATAATCGCCATGGGGCAATGTTGGGCCAGCTGGGTGTGATAATCTCCAGACCATCAAACTGCCACCGACCACAAACCTACAAGTTTACCCACTGCAGTGATCTGCTTCAGCTGTGCTTCACCTTGGTATGAAGGCATCCGCTAAACAAATCTTTTTCTTTCTCTTTAGAGCTAAATCCAATTTGACTCGAACAGATCACACATTAGGCCACATGTGAGTGAGAGTTTCCTGTGAAACTAACACTGGTTTTAATCAAAATCAAAATACCAAAATAGCATCAATATCCAGATGAACACTATGACAATGGATGCTATTCTTGACCTAGCAGTATGACGTATATGCAAGAAAGTGAGCGGTCATGAGACTCTTTGTGAGAAAGCATCAGTAACAAATTAATTCAGTCTTTCAGTTACTTAAGAGCTAAGAACGATGAAGTAATCATTTTAATGAAAAACCTCTAAAACCATTTAACATGATTGTTTTCACGCATTCTGTTTATGAGGGTTTTATTTTAATTACTCAACCTTCCCAGCCCCCGCCTCCCAGTCCCCAGGCCCCGCCTCCCAATCGCAGCCACATTTCAGGGATCACACAATTAACAATACCTCCATTAGGCAGGCCACAGGACGGGGGTGTTTCGCATTAAGCACCAGAGGGGAGTGGCATTATCCAGAAAGCAAGGCAGACAAAGCGTTTAAAATGTGACAAAAGCCAATGTTTATTCACATGACAATGCACATTAATCGCTATGCAGGAAAGATGGCAAACAAGCATGAGAGAGAGAGAGAGACATGCAAAGCAGCACTGAGGAATCAGACAGCAATTTTAATCCCTCTGCCCTCACATATAGAAAACCAAAAGCACAGAGTCAGGGGGAAGGACTCCCCAAACCAGTCACACACGGGCCGGCAGGCTAGAATTACCCGTGGTCCCGGTTCTAATGCTACGGGTACCAAGATTGCTGATACATCCCGCTGTTTTACTCCAGCTTGATTATCATAATCTCCTCTCTTTTTGCACTGATTTAAATAAATCTTATGGCATGGAGAGAGACCGTCCTGAAACGTACAAAATACAGGGTGAGGGGTGGCAGACTGGAGAGCCATTCCCCCCTCCCGCTTTGATCTGTCTGAGAGCCGCATGCACGTGGGTCAGAATAACAGCCCTGAGAGGCGTGCGTGGGCCTAGTCGACTGGCCACGGAGGATCCATCAATCGAGGTAAACATCATCGGCATTTACAGCAGACCTCTTCAAAGAACCTTTTTACGGTGCATTTACAGCATTATTCTGTATATATGTACTCCATTTATATACATCTGCCAGCGATTTAAAAAAATAATAAAAATGTGCACAAGTCTTCAGGCACAAGAGCTTGGTTGCTAAGCAACACGTGACTCTGGGGCAGGTTCCGCAGGAAGCACACGGGTGTGGAAGCGCCGCACGTCCAATCCCAGACGGGCCTGAAACATTCACTGGATGCTTTGAAAACAGGCTAAAAAAGAAAATCAGCTAAACATGGAGAGCCTCTCCACAAAGAAACATATACAGTGACACACGATCAATGTCATCTGTCCACCGTCCGCCGAAAGCCTGTCCAGTAAGTGTTGGGGGGGAGGTGTGTTGGGGGGGGAGGTGGGTCTGGGGCACAGCTGGTGAGACATGCCAAGAGATTATGGTTCTGATGGGATGCGGTAATGACAGGTCAGATCCCCAAGTCCAAAACAAGCAAAGTGACAGAGTCCCCCCCCCCCCCACCAAATGTTGGGGGATCAGCATGAAGCAGCATAAGGATGGCAGTAGGAGGAAGACATGGGGGTCTGGGCATGGAAATGGACCCCAAACACGAAGGAGCAACAGCAGCCAGGTCCCTCACTGAAGCACTGCAGAGGGCGGGGTCCAGACGGAAAGTGGGAGGGGCCCAAAGCATGTGGGTCAGCCAATGCGGAAGAGCAGCAGGAGAGTGGGCGTCACGGAGGCGGGCCTCTCTCATTACCGTGCTCCAGGTGCTCGCTGCTCTCGTAGCAGCCTGAGTCCCGCGGGGAGTCGCGGGGCGCCGCCGGCTCGTCCGACAGAAGCTTCTCCTGTGAGCCGGCGAGGGCGCTGCGCTCGGGGTCGCTGCTACCTGCAGGGCGGGGGCATGCAGGTCAGCGCACAGGGGGCGGGGCCAGCGGATATGCGAGCCGGCGTGCATGCGCGCACACTCACTGTCGCACTCCTGCAGCAGCTCCACCGCAGTCAGGAGCATGGCCCGGTGCTGAGGGTCTCGGATGTTCAGCTCATCCAGATCCTCCTCCTCCAGCAGCCGGAAGGTGTCCAGGTCCTCGTAGCCGTTGAAGAGGAAGGTGGGCATGTGCTCCTGGAAGCGACAGGAAGTGACACGTGAGCACCAACCCTCTCGGGCCCACCCACTCCAGAGACCCCACCCTCCGGTGTGATGGCATTTCCGCTGATGCCGCCTTCGCTTTGAGGGAAGACACCAGGATGACGGCCCTAAATACAGTGTCTCTCCCTAATCCTTGCAATTATGGCTATTTTGATCGAGAAAGATTGTAAGCAGCTGCGAATGTGGGCTAGCTCTGGGTTTATTTCGAGAGCGGGACGTCTCCTGGGACACCAGGCCACGTGTGTCCTCAGGGCATGTCCCCTATTAACGCCAAACATATTCCTATTTAAAAGCTGTGCCAGTGGGAGTGTTTGTTGTACTTAGGATGGCTCTGCAGAATCAGACCGGGTGTCGGTTTCAGAGCCTTTGTAAGCCAAACCCACCCACCTTGGCGGTTGTGCGTTGGTCAGACTATAAAATTAAAAAAAGGGAAAAAGCTGAGCTGAGCTTTCAGGCTGTTATTGGCAGAGCCAGCAGGGTGACACCCCAAAGCAGGCAGGGTACATTATTTGGTTATTTAATGGCTGCTCGCATCCATGGCAACTTGACCGGCTTGCTGCCGTGGGATCACACACACAAAGGGGGCCCCACGAGCTTGGCCCCGCCCTGCCACATTTAGGGAGGGTCCCCCGGTTTCCTCCTGCCTCGACCTCTGCCAGATCCACCCTTCCTCCCCTCCCCCGCGCCGCTTGCAGGTCGCTCGCAGCCCTGGGTCGACTCCCACAGAGGGAGCAGCAATCCTGGAAGTCCTGGTGTCACATGACATTCCCTCCCGGTAACCCCGGTAACCCTGCCCTCTCCTCCTCACGATCAGCTTTCCTTTGGGGCCCGGCTACAGATGTTACCGGGCATTCGGCACTTTGGCATCCATGTGACCCAGACAGAAAGGTGAGGGGTCACGAATGCCCATACCAGAGAAAGCCCAGCAGGTCATGACACCCCCGAGATGAGGTCACCGTGCCTCTGTCCTTCACCCCTGTGCATCAGCATTTTACTGCATCATACCACTGCATTTCTGCTTTGAGGGAATATTTGCTACAGACAGATGTAAAGGTCTAAAGAATTAAGTAATAGTTAAACTTCACATTAGTTACTTTAGTGTATGGAGAAGGGACTGAGTGGGCGGGGTCTTTGGCTGTTAAGAGCCTATGAAAACTGACATCATGTATGGGCGGAGTACATGAAGCATGTATCTCTGCCCACTTTCAGGATGAATGGGAGGAGCCTCTGCAGGAGAGGCGGGGCAATGCGACAGCTGTTAAATCAGCCTATGCAAGCTGACGCTGGGCAAGCATGGGAGGGGCAGGGCCAGTGGGCGGGGCCAGTGGGCGGGGCGTGTGGAGCAGAGTCTCCTCCCACCTTCAGGTTGATGCGTTCCAGCAGATCTTCCACGGAGCTGGGCTTGGGCGGTCGGCCTTTCTTCCTCCGCCTCAGGGGCCGCTTGGGCTTCTCCGCCTCCTCACTCAGCACGTCCACGTAGATGAACTTGAAGGTGCCCACCTTGTTGTTGAGTAGGCCCATCCAGGTCCCCATTGGAGGCTTGCTGATGATGTCGATGACATCGCCCCTCTGTGGGGGGGGGGGGGGCCGGGAACAAACGGGAGACGTTAAGAGCATGAACAGACGCGGCAGGAACTGCAGGGGAGGGTGGTGCCCGACTGCATGCACTTACCTTCAGCTTGAGGGAGTCGGTGTCGTAGGGGCTGGGCGTGAAGTCAGTGTGGACCCGGGCGCGACCACAGAAGGGGCCGCCGTAGGGAAGCTCCTCCTCATCGCCGTCCTCCGACTTCACGCTCTCCCGATTGCTGGCTGACGAGTCTGTGGTGCTCACAGTCTGACCGCCTGAAACACAGCCGCGTGTGCAACATCAGTCTCTGCCAGCAGGGGGTGCTGCGCGAACATTAAAAGCAATGTTAAAGACATAGTGATGTTTTATTTTTCTTAAATCAAGAATCTAAATAAATCTGGAAAGGAGACGGGGGAAAAAAAAAAAAACCCAGAAAATCTTGTGCAGATGTAGAACTGTATAGTAGAGAGATCTTTGCTGAGTTTTGTCTACGATGTTATTTTAGAGAAGCCCGGCAAGATGGCAGAGAACCAAACGGCACAACCAAGAGCCAGAACCTCCCTTTGAATGCATCCAAATTAAAGAGCATGGAAGTCGCCTCCCACTCAGTATCGATTCACCAGCTGCTAACCACCGGGAGATAAAAAAAAAAAAAAGTGCCGTAACTCCTTCGATGAGCCCAAACAAAAAGGAGCCTGTACTTGCCCACGCAATTCTCGCAGCTTCTGATCAGAGGCCAGATCTCGCGAATTGCTGTGATCAGCGTGGGAAACGGGAAGCAGAAAAGAGCGAAATGACTAGCATGTGTGTCACCACGAAGGAGACTGCAGAGTTCCACTTTAAAACATTAATTCAGGTAGTCCGGGCACGTCTCTTTGTGAAATCAGTCAATCTAGGCAGGCCTCTCCACTGCCACCTACAGGCAGAATTGTGTTTAGCACTCAACGCACAACAAGAGTTTGTTAGCGGCATTAAATGAGTCCCACAGCTAGTTTAAACCAGTCCTGCAGGGGTTCTCAAAAACAAAGATGCCTTCTCACTGGGTGGCCGGTGACACAACAGTTAAGGAACTCAAAATGTGACCGAAAGGCTGCTGACAGTACCCACAATGCCTTGCTGTCATGCACTTGAGCAACACAGCCAGAAAAACTAGAAAAAACCAAAACAAAATTAAAAAAAACACACCAGAAGAACCTAGCAGCAAATTAACTGCGCGCAAAAATGAGTCAATAAATTAGGATAGGTCACCAGTGCAGTGACAGTGATTTAAAAGGAGATGAGTGACAGCTGCAGGGTTCACTTGCATATGAGTATGAGCAGAAACAGCACTCTGTCTCAGCGCTATGCGCACACACACACACACACACCCGCCCGCACACACCCGCCCGCACACACACACACACATGCACACCCGCCCGCACATACACACACACATGCACATACAGACAAACATGCACATACACACACACACGCAAAAACACTTACTCATGGAGCTCTGACCACTCAGAGAGCTACGCAGGCTTTCCACAGACCCCCCCGCCTTTAGCTTGGGGGGCTTTTCCAAGGAGTCTGTGTCCGGCTGGGGAGACTGTGGGGAGCTGGGGGTACCGTCTGGGCTCGACTGTGGCAGATAACAGAGAGAGAGGCCTTTAACCCCCCACCACCGATTACCTGCGTCACTGCAATCGTAAGGACAGCACTGCTTAACCATGCCGAAATTGTGCAAACAATGATATGAAACGTGAGAGAGGGGAAAAAAACAGGTAATTCATATTATGGCCAGCAGATGGCGGCAAAGAAGCGCACATTAATTATTCACCTATATGGCGTAAATTTGTGAAATGACTTGTGACTGGAAATATTTATAGATGGGACATTTTTGAGGGGGGGGGGGCAATTCAGCTGCGCAACACATTTAAAAAAAAATCAAAGGGTGTCATTGTACAGTTCACACTCTCTGAGTGACGCTCTGCTGTCGCCGGAAGGTTTTATTTTTATGACTGCACCTCTGCCACAAAGCAGCATTTTTGGCAA